TCCTAATAAACGAAGGAGAAAAAGGCATCTAAAAAAAAAAAAAAAGGCAGCATTCAAAAGTGCTAGTGTGAGTATGCCCTTAAACCTGCCACGTCTGCACGTGTTTTTTTTTTTTTTTTTTTCCGGGCCTGGTACTCCTTCCTTATTGTCCTAATAAACGAAGGAAAAAAAAGGCATCTGAAAAAAAAAAAAAAAGCAGCATTGCACAAAGCAATCGCCAGCACAATTCTAAGGCTCCTTTCTTCTGAGGTCCAACAATGTGAAATACGGTTACGCATATGGATTTTCAATTTGGAGAATTGAGATATTAGACTTGCTCCAATGGTACGGGCAGGAAGGGTAGACAGCTCCACGAGAACGGAAGCATTCGTAGATCAGGGACATGCTCGCAAAAGCAAGGCTTTTCCAGGCAGCCTAGTACAGGCTGAAGAGGCATCCCCCCTGGTCCAGAATTTCCTGAGGGGTTCCTCACGACTCCTCGGTATCTTCTCCAGTCANTCCAGAATTTCCTGAGGGGTTCCTCACGACTCCTCGGTATCTTCTCCAGTCAGTCTGAAGTCAATTCCAAGTACTTTTGTATCTGCACCTGGGACAATGGACCGCACGATGGACCTGTTTTCCACAGCAGGTGAAGCTCCCCACCAGTAGGTGGAGCCTCCCCAGGGCTGCTGGCCGTTTCAGGGCTCTTACCAGCGCCTCTAGCAACCGGGATGAGTTTTTTTTTTTTTAAACCATCCCTATTTTTCACAGGCAAACGTGAAGTCCATCTAGTAGCCTACTTTTTTTTCTTTTTTTTTTTTTCACCACCACTACCTTTCACAGGCAAACGTGAAGTCTGTGATGACCCAACCAAACACGGACTGAGACACGGCTGATTTCTGAGTTTTGCTCATGGACTGAATGCCTTGCTGAGTTTCCCGCTTGCTACTAAGTTCCCTAAGTCTGTGTGTGTGCACGCTTGCTCGTCTGCATGTGTGTGTGTGTGCACACTTGCTCGTCTGCATGTCTGTGTGTGTGCACGCTTGCCGGTCTGCATGTCTGTCTGAGTGCTTGTTGGCTTGAGTGTCTGTGTGACCAGCAAGGGCACTTGTTCATTCGTTGGGCCCCCATGGCTGGTACTTACCTGTGGCCGTGGCATTGAGGATTGCAGCAGGGAAAACACTCAAGTGGCGGGGGAAGAGGCCCGCAACACTTGAAGCAGCGGGGAAACACTCAAGTAGCAGGTAGGCCGGTACCACACCCTGAAGAGGTAGATGTGCCGGGTACTCGAGGCCGAGCAGAAGACAAAAGTTGGCATTTTTGAGGACCAGTAGTTGTAGGCTAGGTCTAGGCGGGTAACAGTCCAACCAGTCTGAGTATAGGGCCTGTACGGGCAATATCAGAGTCTGCAATGATGTTTCCCACCGAAAGGGAGGAGGTACCGGTTGCTTGGAAGGTCGAGCGGCCTGGAAGTCACCACCAAACAAGCAGGCCGCTATATCTCCAGGTCGGGCGAAGAGCCCAGCCTCAATGTCGGTGTGCAAGTTGGAGACACAGTCAACCATCTTATACTCCTTCGGGACATCCGTTAAAATTCGAACGATACAGAGAAGATTAGCATGGCCCCTGCGCAAGGATGACACACATAAATCGAGAAATGGTCCAAAGGAGTCTAAGACGGTTGACTTCCACTATCACTTAGAGCATTGGGCTGAGATGAGACATCAGCGTGCTCACGGGACAGTGGAGTTAATCTTCTTCAAGCTTCTCATAAACCACCACTATCTCCGCGTCTTGATTGATTGTGGTGCAACAACTAACTTCATGTCACCACACGGGATACGCAAAGTGGGATGGGGGATGAAGAAAGTGGCTTTGCAGAACCCTTGCCAGACTCAAGTACTCAAGTACGCAACAAAGAAGTTGCCACATCTACGCATGCAGTCAAAGGTGTGCGCACTACCTTTGACAAGGACAAGACAGTCACCCACGCATTGAACTTTTATGTCCTTGATAAGTGTCCCTTCAAAGTCCTTGGCTTGGGCTGGCTGCAGTCCCAATGCGAATGGACCAAGTGGAAGGAGCCACTTTTCATGGTCAAAGATGCTTAAGGGAACGAGTTTCCCATCCTCTTGGATGAGAAGCACAAGTCCCCAGTGACTTTTCTCAATGACATGCAGTTCTGCAAAAAGTGGCGCAAGCACAAAGAGGACGAACAAATGTATGTTGCCTTTGTTCGCCCTACTCATGTGCCATCTACTTTTGTGGCTAGTACCAATACTACTTCATCTAACGAGTCTACTTCTAGCACTTCTACTTCTCTACCTTGTACTAGTCCAAATGACTCTACTTCAGCTTCGGTCGCCTCCATTAGTAATTTGCGACCTGATCTAGATGACCCGTTTGCTGATCCTTCGCCCCCACCAGTCCCAACAAGCATTCAAAACCTACTTGACCGATTCCTGGAAGTTCTGGCCAAACCACATGGAGTCCCCTCGTGTTCGGTCCGACACACAATCGAGTTGGTCGAAGGTAATGTTCATCCAAAGGGCTGTGTGTACCGAATGGGATCCGGCGAGTTGAAGGAACTCCGGAAACAACTGACAAAATGATCAACAAGGGTTGGATCAAACTTAGCGAATCTGAATTTGGTGCACCTGTTTTGTTTGTCCCTAAGAAAGGAGGCCAAGTCCATATGTGTATCGATTGCGGTCTAAACCACATCACCAAAAAGAATGCATATCATTGCCACGTATAGATGACTTGCTTGATGTTGCCAGTTGGTTCAAGGTCTTCTCCAAGATCAATCTCAAGTCTGGATACCACCAGATTGAAGTTGATCATGCGGACCAGCACAAGACTGCGTTCAAGACACACGATGGGTTTTTACCGTAATGCCCTTCGGCCTCACGAACGCACCGGCCACCTTTCAAAGCCTTATGGACAATGTCCACCGCGAAATAGATTGGTTGTTTTGTGGTGATGTATCTCGATGATATTTTGATCTTTCATCGAGGAACACAAGAAGCACCTTGAGGA